ATACATATACATATGCATGTATGTATGTCCAAAGATATATCAGCAAAAAATACTGAACATTATAAATACACCTATGCAAGTCAATATTTCAGTTTGAATTAATTTGCATGGAATGCTTTACTAAACCTGGTTAATGCATTGCAAAGCAATGACAAACTCATCGGGGACCTGTGTGCCATCCAGGGAAGCCAACTCGTGGGGAATTCCCCGATTTGCGGGTAAATTTCTAGTATAATATAGGTTTCAAATGGGTAAAAATTAACGCTGATTTTTTATAATTTTCTTTGCCGCATTTGCATTCATATAACTAACAAACATAAATTATTTTTATATGGAAGAAAACCGCAACAGCTTCGCCAAAAAAATCCTAAAACGAAAACTTTTCGCCACTTAAAACTTGTTTATTCTTTACTTGTTAACTAACTTCATACAAGATTGGTTTGGTTTATCATAGAACAATTACGTTTAATAATAAAATAAACAGAGAGACAAAAATTACATAATTTTTTTTTTTTTTGTAAGTAAGGAGAATCTATGGGTGGGGAATTTTACGAAATTTCGGGCGAAATCGGGGAATTTTATTGTTGAAATCGGGGAGTTCTCAAAAATGAGTTGGCTACCCTGGTGCCATCCCATTTGGATACCTGGCTTGTAGCCCACAATAAGCCGTCAAACAATTTCAAAAAAGACAAATGCTGAATAATATAGTTTTCAATCCACCAAGTGTCACACACATCTTCGTTCAAAAATCTTAAGTCTTACAAGGCAATACGCACATAATTATTTATGTACATATGAGTGTATTTGTTTCATTTAATTTTTAACTTATTCGTAGTCAAGATTTGGTGGCGGAGCGTTGTTTCAACCCCGAACACCCCAACCCTCACAGGTGCGCTAATGGTACTTCCATTCGTACAAACGCAATGTAAAATATTCAACATTACTTTGATGTCCTACTGCAAAACAGAAGAAGCATTGAGCATACATACGAGGCCAATGTGCAATTAAAAGTGTTAAACTGAAATAATCCCAGTACCGCTTTTTAATCTCAGTAGGTGCCTTGATCAATTTTAAATAGTGGGTGACTGGTAAAAATTAAAATATAAAAAGATTTCTTAATTTGAAGTACAGCATTATATCTCCTATACCGCTTTATTGCGGGAAAAACGTCATATTTCAAAGATTTTTAGAAAAATTGCTTCAAGGTTTATATTTTCAGATAAGGTCGGAAGTGTATTTAAATCATTATTTGTAAATTTTTGATATTTGCTTTATTTCAATAAGAAAGCTGTGTAAGAGCCTATAATTAGTTAAGAGTCGGTGTAGTAGAAAGTCAGGGTAAACCTTTAGCCAAAGGCGTATAAGAAAGCAGAATTCGTGGCTTTAACGTGTTACAGTGAAGAAAGAGAAATGAAAGAAGCAAAATGTTATTAACGAGGTGCACGGGAACAGAAGTTATCTCTTCCCACCAGACTCTCTTTCAATTACAGCCATTTCATAATCCCAAGCATAATAGTGGTATTCAACAGATTTGTTGTCAATACACGTTGCTTGAGCTCATCTCTTTTTTTGCCAGAGTGCCAGGCCATTTGCTCGCTTTGATGAATAAATACTACTAATGAAAAGTACGAAGCTGATATACCCTGAGTACATACATATATCACCAGAGCTAAGAAAAGCGGATTCAAGTGGATCAATTTCGATGAATTTTGAAGGGACACTTCTTTTTAAATTTTGATACATATCCCATCGTGTAAAAAAAATCCCGTAGAAGGCGAAAAACTTGCTAGATATGTTTACAATTACTAAGCGCATAGTGCTAAAAAGTTGAATGAGTTTGCCAAGTTCCAAAACTACGTTGGTGTTAAAAATCATCAAATATTTCGAGTGTCAAACGTTCGCTGGCTATCGCAGTTAATTGTTTACTGTCCCAGTGGGGCGCATTGCAATTATTTTTCATACCTTGATTCGATGATGGTGTGAACCAAGTTGAGTTGGACAAACCAGCCTTTAATCTTCACGAACGATGTTTATGCATTGTAAAATATGAATTATACGCTTTCGTTTGCAATAAAAATGAGGTTTATATAACCTTCATAGAAATATTAAAAAATATTTAAAGTTGTAACTGGTGGGACATCGCCTTGTGACTGGTGTAAAGTAATAAATAATACATGAAATAAAAGTTTCCATAGATAAAAATTAAAACTTCTTCTGATTATTTTTTTTTTTTAATATCTTCCAGCAGCTTAATGAAATGTAGTCATTTAAAAATAGTTTACTACTTGAATAGAGATAATTGGAGCACATTTAAATTTATGACCCATTTGCAGATGTACATATCGTTGTTTAAAGTACAAAACCGCGTAACTGACATTGGCTGCCAAAAACTGGATTTGCTCACACAAGCTATTGGCTCAATCCTTAGCCATTCGTCCTGAAATATACTAGCCAGAAATGCGACTGCTTTATAAAAAAAGACAACCATTTTGAAATATGAGTGTTTTTACTCTCTACAAAATAATCTATGCAACCTCACATACGCGGTTTTGCATTTTGTTGATACGCGGTTTTGTACTTTAAACGACGGTATGTACATATGTATGACATTTGAAATGCAGGGAGTAGAAATTGTTTCACGTGCATTACATTTGAGCTGAGCGGCTGTTATCAGCTTAACGCATGGTTTTCGTGCCCACGCAAGCAACAAAGCGTAAAGGTTTACAAGACAAAATATTGATAAGTCACCAAAGTTGTGAGCAGCAGTGGAAACTAAGATAAGTACGAAATGGTTGGGGGAGACGATACGGATTCGGTAAACCTCGAATCAAAATTCATTTTACACAGAGGCACCGAATACAGGGGGTCATTATGGAGCCAAAAAGACCCCAGACCAATGTGTGGGGATTATGAATATTTACAGTAAAATATACATTTTATGCACACATTATTGATTATTTTTTTTTGTCTGATGGTTTTTAAAATGTTTAATTTAACATAATAAAACTGAGCATTAATGAAAGAATATACGAAACACCTTCAACAAGCCTAGCAGATTGTTACACTAGATTCATTGACAGACGGCAGCGTTGTTTCGGATTAACGGCACGGTTCTGATTAAAATTGTGCCTTGACAGACGGCAGTTATGCGGATTAACGAGCCGCAAGGTCGTGGGTTCGAGTCCCAAGGCCAGTAGAATATTGATTTATTTCTTTTTCATTCATTCATTTATTAGTTCTCAATTTTTTAAACGTTGCTTTCAGTTAGTTGTTGTTGACTTGTGTAATAAAATAAAACTCTAAAAATTTAAATAAACTTATGTAAAATAAAATATGTATGTATAAAATAAAACAAGTGAAACTAAAATAAAATTAAATATATAAATCAAATAAAATAAAAAAGCTATAATAATCGCCCCAACCGAGGATCGAACCTGGCACCTACAGAATTGTAGCACGCAAATCTCGCCACTCGGTTACCGCGGAAGCCAAATTCGCTTGCTTTATTTTCCTACTTGTACAACAGAGAACAGATGGGCGTTTTTACCTGTGTTGTCATCGAAAATCCCCTTGATCCGTGTTAATGCCTAAAAATTTTGTGCATTTGTTCGTCTGCTTATGCGCGTTTAAAAGAGGCTGTATACTGGAAATTTTTCTGAAAATTATGCGCAAGCAATTTTAAATTTTGAAGAATAAGCAAGTACCTTTAAAAGAAATTCGTTACAAAATGACTCGATTTTCTATGCAGTTTTTTCATTGATCCATCAATAAACAAAAATGTTAGATAGTGCCTTTCTATATTAAGATATGTATGTTTTCACTGTGCAGTATGTGTCATGACCAGGGAATGGATTTTTAGGACCTAAAAACCTATAAAAAAGGCAAAATAAAATAACGAAATAGGCTGGTAAAGGCAAAATAAAATAGCGAAAAAGGCAGGAAAAGGCACTAGGTATTGCAAAAGAGGCAAAACAAAATAGAGAAAAAGGCAGGAAAAGGCACTAGGTATTGCAAAAAAATAAGGCACTAAAAAAAGAAAACACGAAGAACAATCAATAAATAAATTTATTTTAGAAATTTTTATATTATAAGTAAAAATAGAAAAACTACGTACTAGTTTCATTATATGAAAAATTTGTACTTTGAATCTTTGACTATTTTATCCTTTCGAGTTTCTAACTCATAAAACTTTAATCTGTATAGTTCTAGTAACATTGAACCACAAGATGCATTTTGAAGTTTTCTGGCAGCATTTTCATTCGATTTTCGCGAAGAAAAGCCTTGAATGTACTAAATGTGCGCTCGACGTAAGTTGATACAAGCGGCGCCCAATTTAAATATGGAACGTTTGAAACGTTCATATTATCAGGAACAAGGGCGTTTTCCTCGCCCTTTACAATTTTATCCACACCCCTTATTGTCTCCAAGCCTACGTTAGCTGAGAAAACGGCTTTGAATTTTTCCAACACCAATTTGGCAAGAGGTCCCTGCGCTTCTATAAGCCGCATGGGCATGTGTATATTTTTTAATCTTAAAAAAGAAATTTAAATGCTATAATCACTTTTTTAAAGGTAGAAAAGGCAAAAAAAGCATATATCTTAAAAAAGGCAAAAAAGGCAACATCAAATGTGTATATATGGAATCAGGGAAAGCTAAATCGTGGACATTCTTAATCGAATATACTCTATCTCTTTAGCAGAAAAAAAGCAATTTCCATGAAATCCGTTCCCTGGTCATGACTCATGATGAGTGAAAAAACTCTTTACTAAAGAGTCAATAGGCGTGTTTCTTTCACACGCATGTACATATACTGTAAGCGACAAACTTTATGTGCGCTTATGAATATTTGTTGAGGTCTACACCAAAACGATGCATCTCAAACCTAAAAAAAATCTTCGGTAACGTGCAGAATAGACATGTCAAGAACAAACTACCAGGGCAATCGGCTTAGTCTATGAATGACATATTTGAATTAGGTGAAATAAGTTAACATCAGCAGAGGTATGTGTTAAAATAAAATTTACCAGATTCCTATTTTCAAAGATTTGATTCCGTTGGTTTCGAAGAGCTGGGGCTGGATTCTGTCACTGTGAGAAAACGAAGTGTACACCGAGTGCAAAGCTCACAACCAAAAACTCACCCAATAAAATTCAGTGAGTTTTTCGGAAGAGAAGTGTACATAATTTTGACAGCTAAAACTCATTCTCACAATTCCTGAATCGCAAAATTAAGAATGCACACAATTTTCAGTGTAAACCTGAAAACTCACAATTACAAAATCCAGGCCCTGGACGTATGTTTTGAAATTTGACCCTATAGGTTTGTACCACGATTCTTTGGTTTGTATAGTAACAAATAGTCAGTACTAATTTTTACTGGAACCTGCAAATTTTTATTTACTGCAAATGTGTATAATAACCCAAAACATTTGCAAGAGATCACTGTATCGAGAGCGCAATAACACGGGAGAGCTGCAAATTCTTGCTAGTGAAGTTTTTGCTAGCAGAAGAAGAAGAAGAATAAATGCCAAAGCCGCCATTTGGTGAATTGGTTTAGCACAAACAAAAGTAAAATGAATGGAGATCAAAACATTAATGCAGTACTGGACTGTGTAAGTGCTTGTGTGTAAAGCAAAGAGTTTAAAACTGATTTATAGATAGTAAAATGTTTACAGCAGTATACCAAAGCGGCGCAGCAACTATTCACTTGCAAGTTTTTACTAGATTTGTGTTCAATAACTTTTTCTGCTAGTCTTCTCTTCTTCAAAGTTACCATTGGCTGTTGTTGTAAGACTATGTTTGCCGAAACTGTATAGACTTTACGATTGACTGTTTGGCTTGATATTCTAAAACGTCTAAAAATGTAACAGGATTAACGATCACAGCCACCAAACATTTTATTTACTTCCCCCTGTCTACTTTTAACCGCAAGACACTGCACTCACTGTCTAAGTACTCGTGTGTTGCTTTATTGTGCTCGTAAGCCGTGAAATTCTGTCAATGGAGGCTTTGTAACGGTTTGTCACCTTCTCTGCTTTACGCCGTTGTTTTATGTTTCCGCCGTATTACCCATTTTGATGCTATTGCCTTTATTTAGCTGTCGTTGTTTATTTTTGTAATCGGTTCATATAAACGTAGTCGAGTTAAATGCGAACGCATTTAGATTGCAGCCAATTGCTGCCGAGGCAACATCAAACAAAGAGTATGAGCATTATTTTCGGCAGAAGACAATGGAGCAGGTGCCTCCGTGGATGGTCTTTTCAGGCCAGGGGCACGCAGCTGATTTTGTTGCTGCTAGTACACCAAACATACAACCATGTACTGAGTGAAAGGATCGTTGAGAGCATTTATGAAGATGTGGACTTGAGCGACAACATCTACAGTAATTCGACGGCTAGTGGCAATGGTGGACCAGCTGGTCAAAGTAGCAATGTTGTGCATTCATTCCGCTTTCGCGATTTCGAGCCACGCTCCATGGGTGAAATAAATTCAAAAGATGTTGCAGAGGAGATGAGTAATAAATTGAGGGAAAGTCTGTTTGAAAAACGCAAGGCGCGTGGAATACATTTCGAGGCTGACGGAAAAGATCTCTCCATAAACCTTGAATTCATTGTGCCTGTCTTCCGAGTGCCCATTGAACGCAGTTTTGAAATTACACAGACGGCTTTTCGTAAATTTACCGATTTAAATTCGCGTAACCTTCTACTAGGCGGCGGTCTTGCTGTTGCAGGTGCTCTTGTTGCGGCAGTGATCAAAACCGTGACCACGCCAACATTCTATGGATATGGCTACAAGAAAGCCAATCGTGGCGCAGATTTTACGGAAGGACTCAGCTTCGTCAGTTATGATCCGGTGGGCGGTGACGGTGTTACGGTAAAGAAATCTGGTAGGTTAGATTTCCAAAATTTATTGAGATTTTATTCGGCAAAGTTTTTTTTATAAATAGTTAGCAGAGTCCAAGATGTGTTAAATGTGCTGGAACGAAGTCTACACGCTAATAACGTGAATATAAGTGCGTGCGCTCAGCGCGCCATCTGCGGTTACGTCCAGCAAGCCACAGCAGTTGTTCGGGCAGGTCGTGCATCTCCAACTGAACGCATAGTCGATGGGCTCGTCAAGTAAGTTCTAAAAATCCCATTCCGAATACCAGCTAAGATTTGTTCAATAAGTGTTGTATTATTTCTCAATTTTAGTTTAGATCTGCTAAGGGTTTACCTTAATGGCACAACTCTGAAGAAAGCCATAGATTTAGGGCGTACAAGTAATGCGACCACTTGCGAGCACATTTATCGGAACTGTAAATGGTCAAACATGAAGAATACAACATGGAAAATTGTTGCGAACTTTTTGGTCAGTTACTTAGAACGACTCAGGTAGTATTAAACATAACTGTAACTGTATTAAATATTCTTAAATGTAACTGGGATTAAACATACAGCTATAATATTTATTATGTATGTACATATGTAAGTGCCAAAGTAATTATTTTAATAAATTATATTCTTTACTAAAAACTTAATAGCAACCTAGCACTGTTTGTTGGATAATGGTTTAGTCAATTAATAATTATTTTTACCAAATATTATTAAATTTAGAATAATTTGGGATATCTTATCAAAAAATTGCATATTACTTTATGCTGACCCCCACATCCAAGACCACAAAACGATTGTTGGTGTCGTATGGGGCCAGAGTACATTACATACATCTTACTATTCAACCCATACCAAATAAGTTGAAACTCGATACAAATGGGATAGAAAAAAATGTTTTCTTGTCGGCCGACAAAAAGCGTTTTGCACGCTACCATTCAGCAGGACTTGGGTTCAAGCCCGGTTCAACCCAACATCAAGAAATATAAATCAAGCAAGTTTTTTTCTACTACTACGGTCGCCCCAGGGCAGGCAATGGCAAACCTCCGAAAGTATTTCTGCAAGGAAAAACTGCTTCACATAAAAATACAATCGCCGTTCGGAGTTGGCGTAAAACTGCAGGTGCCTACCCTTTGTGTGACCACAACAAAGCGCACCTCACAAATCGGAGGAGAAGCTCGGCCAAACACTAATATACATATGTGTAAGCGTCAATCTATTAAATATTATTAAGTTGCTTTGAAAATGGGCGCAATTGGGTGGTAATCATGCTCACCTATAACGGTAGTTTTGAAAAATGCACAAATACGATATCTCCGTAAATACTAGATCCAAATTGCTTAAAAATGGAAATTTAAGTAGAATGTTGGTATAAAATAAGACACTTATAAAATTTGTGTTAAATAGACGTAACACTGCCCACTTATGTATGTCTACATGTGTGTATTTCGATTACCGATTTATCGATATCTATTAATTTCGGTACAGTTATTTCCCTTGGTACAAGAAAGCAATATGCTGAACCTTTTCGAAATCGTACTAATTGTACGCCCACTTCCCATGTACCGTTAAATTTCAGAAATACGAAAACTCCAATATTTCAACAACCAAGGACGGTAATTTACTACAAGTTAATACTTACAGCAATCTCTTAACATGAAATAAGGTTGTTATAGATGTTTGGGAAACTACTTTCTCTATTGAATAAAATACATAACAAAAGACGTACCGTAAACATATGCCAAGTACATCCACTCTTACATATATATGTATGTAACTCTAATTTTCTGAGCAAGAAACTTTTCTAGTGTAAAAAAATAATACTCGTGGCTATGCATGTTTCATTTTCTCGTGAAAGTTAATAGGTTTGGTGTAATTCGAGAAATTCGGGCCGTTTCGGGCGGGCCCTCACTGATTTTTCCCCATGCTTGCTTTCAAATATGTATCCTACACTCGTGCCGGACCGAGCCGGAAAAAGTAGGCCCGCGCCTACTTCTAATCTGAATCATGATTGCAACTACAAGGAACGAGGCTCGTAAGTGTGTATAGCTTACCGTCGTTAACTACCTTATTTTACAAGTAGTGATTGATCTGGTATTCTAGAATAGACTGGAAAAAGCCGAAAGCCCAATGTTTTCGTTTAGAATGGTAACATATATATATGTATGTAAAAGGCACATTGGTTGTGGGCGCGTATTATATATCTCTTGCTGTTACGATGGCAATATACATAACTATGTGGATGGATGATAAAACGAATCCGGAATTAGAAAGAAATTTCTCAGCTTTCCGCTTCGTGCGCTCTTCACATGTGCGAATTAATTTAGGTAATTACATATATACATACATATCTATATATGTATATGTGCGTACATACCTGTGTATATTCATTGCATGTATGTATGTGACTCGATGAACAAAGTAGTGACACTTCAAATAGCAAAAATCGCTTAGTCCAATTTGTGTGCAATTCAAGCGAGCACCAGACCATGCCATTGCATGTAATACAGGAAATGCTTACGAAACTGCAGAGCGGCGCCCGCCCATAAGTTACGCGTATAAAGCAAAATGGATCGCGCAAACTTCTTCATAAAGTGCATGACCGAGTAGGAGAACAGGTTGGAGGTCGCAAGCGATCCAAGTAGAAATTAAAAAGCCAACAATGATATTCCGCGCGATTATAATTTTCAGTGGCTTGATACTTGGCCGCTTGGGAGTGGGTGCCAATACGACTACCACTTTCCATCGTACTTCATCGCCAGAGCGCAGTGGACGTGTAAATCTTTTCTCATTTCGACCTTTAGGTAAAGATGTGGCAATGGGCTTAGACTTTGAATTACCATTTCTTCAAGTGCCTATGAAACAATATAAGGACAAGTACGGAAATTCGCCGGTAAGAGTAAACAATTAAACAGAAAAAGTTATGTAACGCAATGTCTAATATTAACAATTTTGAAGAAGAGTATTCAAAATTCGATAACACTTTGCACTCACCATGTGAATAATTGCGTGTCTTCTTCTACGTTGAGCTGCAAAAATGTTTCGGTAGTCATGAGACCATCAAAACAGTTAGCAACGGAACGCCGCAAGGGGGCATATTATCGCCGCTACTTTGGTCGCATATCGTCTCCTGAAATGCAAAAGGACGTAACAAACATTGTCATTGAAGTGCAATAAGTCGTAACTAAGTAATAAAAAATTCAAAATTCACTTTTTGATTGATATGATGGATTTCATCGAATTACGACTCCCCACATCGTTATAAAAAAAAGCAAAATATATTAGTCACGACCTTTTCCATTTCAGTGGCGATGTTTTGTTACGTATTTTTGCATTTTAGGTAACGATATGCGGACGATATTTAGTAAGCGGAAAGTGTCTGTCTACACTCAGCTCATTTATGAGCCAAGCACCAGGGGTGATACATTTTTGGGCAATCGAAGTGAGGCTTAGTATCAACGCAGAAAATAAAGACCTGATACTCCTCACCAGCAAATAAAATTTTCCGAACTGGTCTAAGCCTGGGTACTGGGTTCCGCGGCATCGCGGCCAACAGCCGTTCCAAAGAGGGCGCTTTGTCGGAAACGATGCTGATAGAGGATGTACCGATTTGCCTCCAAGCGATTATTCGGATTTCTTCTGACTAATGGTAAGATCTTTAGAAGATGCAGAACGAAAGAGGAGACAGTGTGGAGCATAGCCCTTAGCAGACTGCGAGTTAGTCTGCTGGGAGCAGGTTTTCTACCTAATCTGAAAGCCTCCACCAAACTAGGGTATAAAAAGGTGTTCCAGTTTGCCAAGAAAACTTCGATGTTCTTCCACATTTCTCATGGTACGCAGTGTTTACCTGTCCGCTATGGACCTTAATGGTGTCAGCGAAGCCACCTAACCTAACCATACCATAAGATAGGTAGTCGCAAAAGCTCTAATATAATCTCAAAATATTTAAATCATTATTACTTATATATATATAATACGCAAAATAAAAGACGATAATGACGGTATCTGCATTCGGGTATGTTCTCGAACAATGGCAATGATAAGTAAACAAAACATATTTTAAATAATAATGATAATAGATTGGCGCTCACATATGTTAGTGTTTGGCCGAGCTTCTCCTCCGAATTGTGGCGTGCGCCTTGATGTTGTCACACAAAGCGGAGGGACCTACAGTTTTACGCCTACTCCGAACGGCGATCGTATTTTAATGAGAAGCTGTTTTTCATGGCTGAAATACACTCCGAGGTTTGCCATTGCCTGACGAGGGACGACCACTGTTAAGAAAAAAAACTTCTTACTCGAGCTCGGAGATGGCTTGATCTGTAGATGTGTAATTCGATTTTAGTTTTTTAAAAAGATGCCATATATACGAAAATAAAATTCAAATTATTTATTAAAATAAATAAAGTATCCCAATATGGGTATCAAAAGAAATGGTTTTGTATAAAGATGAAGACGAAGATGAAGATGAAGATGAAGATGAAGATGAAAATGAAGATGAATATGAAGATGAAGATGAAGATGAAGATGAAGATGAAGATGAAGATGAA